ATATATATATATAACTATGTATCTAGTTTACCTCAAAAGAACCAAGCCATCTAGATATAAGGCCAAATCTGGTTTTAACGTGCCTCTTTGGACTGCACAAATTATTTCATTGTAATCGAATTTTTTTGACTGTATAAAAAAAAAAAAACAATTATATTGCAATAAGCCAATAAATAATTCGTGCTTCTTGAAAATTCGTTATTAATATATATTTTAAAGTGGGATTTAGTCTGTATCGAGCAGTCAATCAATCAATCTATATATATTTATATGTATATAACTTAATTTCTGATTATGCGTATAGAACCAAACTTTCCTAATTGAAGAGGTTGCTTCGGTATACAAGCAATTTCGTTGCATTCAATAGGAAAAAAAAGAGCAATTTTACCAAGTGAAAAAGCAATTTGCTGGTCATTCTGGAATTTTCGTTACTACGCTAGTCTCTAAACTAAGATAAAATCATTTTACTAAAATCCCGGTATAACAATTCTCGTATTAAATTTCCAGAATCAACAACAAATTTATTCAAGTGATCTGGCCTCGTTTTCGCAACTTGGTCATGCTGTCCGGGCGATCTAGTTGGCAACACCTTGTCCATAGTTTCCTGTTACGGTAGTTGTCATAATTCCTAGCACGGGACTGTGGACTCGATCCATTCCCAGACAACGCGTCGGCGACGTACTCGGCATCCTTAGTCGGTTCTTTCCCTCCGAGTACCAAACCACGACTCGCCAAAGAAACAAGTGACCAACTTTCTGCCAAATGATTGTGCCCATGTATCTAATCCCTAACTTCTTGTCTCACTCCTGCCATATCCCAACTTTTGTCTATCTATCTATCTATCTATCTATCTTTATATATATATATATATATATATATAGTATGGATTGTTTTAAGTAACTTATACAGCAAGTTTTTTCACTCTTTCCACAAGTAGCGAACTATAAATTTGCCAAACTCTTGCCAAACTGGCCGGTCTTCTGAACCGACAGCTTTCAAAGCCTCAAGGGCATAGATGAGCATGCTTGTCTAACAGAAAGACATTAGGCCTCGGTCATTGACAAGAACTCTTATTTTCGTATTGGAGTTTCGAGACTACCAGTAAATCAGTAGTATGAGATGTATTCACCCAATTTCGTTTAAGGTGATTAAGGACTGGTAGAAGAAGAATTTTCCCACAATCATATGAGTTGAGCTGACGTTTCCATTCAATTTCACATAGCCTTGCTTTCCCAAAAGTTGTTCTCATCCAAGAACTCTTAACTTTGTAAGTTGACCAACCGACGAGGCTTAGCAAAAAGGGCTGAGGTACCACCCCGGCTATGATTGGTCAGATACGAACTGGGCAGTCTCTGGGTCCCGGGGTCGTTGTGATGGGGTAGAAGAAGAGGAGGGCTGTGTCGGTGCTCCGGGGTGCAAGAAGAGTCGAAGAATGCCTCAATTGTGTGCTAAATGGGGTGAGGAGAGACGCGAAAGTAGGAGCCATGGCAACAATGCATGCCTTCCAGTTGGGACTTCAGTTCTGAGGGCCTACCTGAGTGGTCACGATTGATGATCCTCACCATTCGGTTGACGGCGGCTTGGCCGGCCGCGATGAAGATCGGGTTGGTGGGGCGCGGCGCGCCGGGCGACAACCGACGAGCCAAGGGCCCGGTCGTCTGGTTGCCGGGCAGGAGGGGTGCGTTCGGCGAGACGCCAGTGCTGCTGCCGGAGCGGTTGATGACGGCGTCCGTCGGTCGTCTGGGCAGACTCGAGAAGGCGAGAGGACCGGATTCCGCGAGACCGTCTTGTCGTCCGGCGGCCGATCGAGGCGCAGTCTCGTCGTCAAAGCCCCGCGGCGACTGGACCTTCTCGTCGGCGCTGTGTTGCCGGGCGACTCGAGTTGTCGAGGCTACCGGTGCAGGTGTCGTCAGCGTTGCCGGCATTGAGGCGTCCGGTCGGCTGGGCGACGTGACAACGGGCGATCTGGCGCGTTGCTGGGCGCGCGGGATGGCCGAAACGTTGCCGGCGAGACGGAGGCTGGGCGTCTGCGAAGGCAGCGGCGGCGGCGGAAGCCTGTTGGCCGGGGCAACCGAGTGGACGGGATGGCGAAGGAGGAGGAGACTTTGGGGTCGGGCCGGGGTCTGGCCGGCCGAGGCGGCGGGACTCGAGCAGATGTGCAATTGGCGCGACTGGGACTGGTGGGGGCAGGGCAGAAGAGGCGGCGGGGCCGGCGGTTTCTGATGCGTCGTCTGCCGGCTGCCTTGAACCCGCCATTGCGGGGCCTCGGGGCTGGGCGAGTCGGCCGCGCCTCGAGCGCTCCAGCAGTTGCCGTCCCGAATCTGCGCCGGACTCGAGCCGTGCCGGTCTCGGGCGGCGCTGGTCGGCGCCGCGCACTCGTGACCGGGACCGTCGGTCGACTGGCCGAGCGCATGGCGACGCGACGCGCCGCGAGTGGCACGAGAACTCGCCTCCCTCGGACCGGCGCCGGCACCGGCACCGGCAGCGGGACTCGGACCCGGACCGGCGGCGGGACTGGTCAGCTCAGCGAGGGCCAGTTGCAGACTCTGACGACTCAACTCTCCGCCCGAGATGGTGGCGAATCGGGTGCCGGTTCGGCGTCGGCCTGCGAGAAGAGAGCAAAGTGGAGCCTTAATGATCGTGTGGTTATACACTCGGTGATGCAAACATCTTTTTATTTCATTTCAATCGAACATACTACTTATAATCCTAATAAGTAGGCGCTGTTATTACACGTCGATGTTGGAAAGCCAGCTTTTTGAGATACAGATTTTGGGCAAGAGATTTCGTGTAATGATGAGATTAGCACCTCGATCTGGCCACAGGGTTCTCTGGCTTGATATTTCTTTAGCGTCAAGTTTTGACGCCGAATTCGGGGCCTCCTCCTTCGGTTCGCACGACACCGTGTTGACTTTACGTCTTTCATTCCATTCGATGGTCCTCATCAAAGCTGAGATTACTGCTTGCAACTAGCCAATGCGTCGTTGTGATGATGTCTGCCGAGCAACATGAAGGATAATCTCTCAGCACGACCTTATCGGAGCCCATGGAGATGGGCTGAAGATTAAACGGTCGGGCTGAAGCAACTGCAGATCAAGAGAAATCCCGCATCGTCATTTGCCGAGACTCGTCTACAAATCTCTTCTTCACTGAACGCAATTCAGCTCACCCTTGATTCTTATGTCTCGTCTTTTTTGGATGGTGTGTGTGGTATGCAGGAATCGGTTGTGATGTTTTATCCTGTGAATATTCTGTCCGAGAGATCAAGCTGTACAATGACCTGACAACTTCGTCATTTTATCACGATATCATAGTTCAGAGAGTTGTATTTATCAGAAGTACCAGCATGGTCTCAACAAAGTCCAGTTGAGGCCACCTTGTAGTTGAGGGTTGAGCTTACTTCCATTTCGAGTGGAAGTGTTGCGTGAAGAGATTCGAAGTCGGTTCTACCAGAAGACGACGGCAGATTCCTTTCGATCAGCTGTCGATTGGAAGATTCATTCTGACGTTGTTTCCGAGGCAATCTCAGTCGATGCCGGTGAAAAGGTGTTAAGCCTTCTTCTGTCATATGACACACATCATCAGAGAGAGGCAACATTGTCACAACCGAGTTCACTGGCGATTCCTCAAAAAGTTGTATACATACTTTATCTCTGGAGTTTTCTTGAATTGTATTTTGACGATGATACCTTGCTCTGATGATGTTCGTCATATGACGGATCTTTTTACCGGAATCGACGGAGATTGCCTCAGAAACAGCGTCAGTATGAATGTTG